TCCTATGTCCCTTTCTAAGAAGAAGGAGGTCACCAACAGTCTACCAAAAGAGAGGGAAAAAGAATCTTGTCAGAAATGTGTACTGGGAAAAGGAAACGAGCTGTACAGCCAAATTAAAGACTCTGCATCTACTAAAAGCAAGGGTGGCTATAAGAAGGCTGTGGTGTGGCCTAACGAGCCAAGGCCGTTTGGGTTCCTTTGCATGTAATTGTACTCAGTGTCCTCTAAAGTGGGCCAGTGTGCTGTAATCAAACATGGTATAGTTGAAGAATGGTGTCTGTGTATTGCGTCACATGATCGCTCTGCGCTTGGCGCCCTGCCAAGACAGCTACGTGAATTGTTCTTCCTGTGCCCTGGCTAATGTCAAAGAGGAGGCAGAAGAGCTTAGATCTTGTTGGATTTTTTTTCACCCTGAGGACATTGAAAACCTGAGGATTTCATAAAGTTTCAGAGGCATTGTGTCCGTCTTGTAAGAAAATAGTTATAAAACATTTGGATGATGAATTAAGATCCCATCAGGGCATTGAGGGAAGGACTTAGGAATTACTGTTTTCATTTTGGGAACCTGTCAGATAGGGTCGTTTTATGTCTGGTATCTGCTTCCCAAGTTGAAGAAGGTAGTGTTTGTGACAGTCTCTTTGAGGGTGCTTTTAACATGCAGAACAAAACTTTAATTTGCCTGCTGTTATGATTTCTACTGGCTATGAGGATTTGTATGTTGTTGCCACAGTCGTAAAACATACTTATTATTCACTGCAGATCGAAGTACCTTAGTGACTTGATTTCTTGGATTATTTCTGAATGGTCCCTGAATGTATGGAATTGGTGATGTTTTTGTCCTGTTGCTATTATATCTTTCCTGGAAATAAAGTGAGGTTTTCATGCTTGAGTAAACACATTGATGCATTATGAAACTGTCAGCCTCTTTGAACAATTGGCATAAGCTCAATTATTCAAATATGTGACTCTTTTGAATGGCTTTTGTGTCAGCTAATGCTTTCATACAACCAGCATCAAGAAACTTCAATACCTTTCTTAAGAAATTAAATCTCAACTGTATGATTAAAGAAATCCAAGGGATTAGTCCTTTCATGGAGCACTTTCATTATCATATACAGCTAATTGGTAGCATTCGTTTTCTGAGATTCATCATTTTATTTAAAAATATCTTTCTTTTTTGTTAAAAAATAATTTAAAGCTGTTTATGCATTTTCCTTATCACCTGAAATCACTTTTTTCTTGTGTTTCCTTCCTGTCAACGCGCACACATGCTTTTTTACATAATGTACCTGCATTTTTGTCTTTTTAAAATTATATTTGCATTCTAAGGCTTTTTCAAGTTATGTGGTCTTCATAGTAATCCTTTTTGTCACTTAGTCAGTATTGAATTATTTAATAACATGCTAACCATTTCCCTTCTTGGATATGTGTGTTTTCAAGTTTTTCATTTTTGTTGATAATGCAAAGACATCTTGTGCATTATAGCTTGTTTTTCTTATTTTCGATTATATTACAAGGACAGATGTTTAAAGTATCATTAAAATGTCAGTGGACTTGGGGTGCCTGGGTGGCTCAGTGGGTTAAAGCCTCTGCCTTCGGCTCAGGTCATGATCCCAGGGTCCTGGGATTGAGCCCCACATCGGGCTCTCTGCCTGCCTCTGCCTACTTGTGATCTCTGTCTGTCAAATAAATAAATAAAATCTTTAAAAAAAAAAAAATCAGTGAACTTGAAAACTTATGTTCCATGTATTGCCTTACTGCTTCCCAAGTGTTGTTAGTGTCTTCTTTTTGATTATAGAAGTAAAAAGTCTCTTTTACCACAAAAAAAAAAACAAAAAAACCCCCCAAAACTGACATTTATTAATTGTTAGCATCTTTCAGAATTATTCATTTGGAGCAGCCTATAATCTTACAGAGACTTTTTCCTTTGTAAATTCAATTTCTGTTTTTAGCAAAGTAATATACGCAAATCACTTTTTTTTTTTTTTTTTTTAATCCAATAAGCCTAGTGTGACAGGGAAGAAGAGTAGCTGCTTGCCTTCCCTGTCCCCACTCCAGTTTCTGGCTCTTGAGAACCCCCAGCTCTAAGCTGTTTCTACTGTTGTATGCCCCCACATTGCTAAGCTTGCTAATTTTAGTTTGATTTTTTTTTCACTTTATAGTTATCTTTTGATTTCTTTCTATAGAAAATGAGACTTTAACACTTACGATTTCTTCTCTATCCTCTAAATATTGATGTAACACCAATTTTGTTTTTATCAATATGTAGCTATTAAAACATTACAACTAAATATTTTTCATAATCAGGTCTTAAATTTATATTGTGAATATGTCTTCTCATACTTTATATTTTTCCTGAAATTAATAACTCCTACCTTTTTTGCTTACTTTGTTTCTTTTTTTTTTTTAAGATTTTATTTATTTATTTGAGAGAGATCACAAGTAGGCAGAGAGGCAGGCAGAGAGAGGGGAGGAAGCAGGCTCCCCGCTGAGCAGAGAGCCCGACGTGGGGCTTGATCCCAGGACCCTGGGAACATGACCTGAGCCGAAGGCAGAGGCTTTCACCCACTGAGCCACCCAGGTGCCCCTGTTTCTAATTTATCAATAAACAAATCTTCTTGATACTTTCAAACACATCAGATAATCCCAAAGATGTGTGTTTTGCCCCCAATAATCTTTCCTCTGGGAGCCTCCCTGTTTGCAGTGTGGACTGGTCCCTCCCAGGGCCTGCTACTCAGCCAACATCTTGGAAGTCCCTTCACTGTTCTATCATGGGAATTTCTTTTGTCTCTGTTTTGTTGATTCTCTGATTGATGGATATCAGATCCTCCTCCTTTGAGAGTTATGCTCACATTTAATGGATTCCTGAGGGTGCAAGGAAGATACATTGTTTTAAAACCATGCATGTCTAAAAATGTCTTTATTTTGTCGTCGTTCTTGATTGATGGTTTTGTTGGATATGTAATTTTAGGTTGGAAATAATGTTTTCTTGGAATTTTGAAGGCATTGCTCCAAGGCCTTCTAACTTTCAAGGCTACTGTGGAGTCCAGCACCTTTCTGATTCCAGTTCTTCATTATGACCCCCCACCTAACCCCCCGGTCTCTGGAAGCTTTTGGAATCTTCTTATTTCTGGTATTCTGAATTGTTATATTTCTTGGTATTCTTCCATGTCTCTATCATAAATTTTATTGGCCATGTGGTGGACTTTTCCAAACCAGAAAATGCATGTTTTGAAGTCCCCTGTGCTCTCTTTTTGGAATAACTGTTAGTTGGATGTCATACCTTGTGGACTGATCTCATGTCTTTTTCTCTCCCATATCTCTGTCTTGGAGTCTTTTTATCCTACTTTCTGAGGGATTTTGTTAATTTTATTTTTCACCTCTTTTATTGGATTCTTTTTTAATGCTACAGTTTTTTTTTTTTAATTTTATTTCCAAAAGCTTATTATTTTGAAGCTTCCTTTTTATGGTATCATGTTGCTTCATTTTCTCTTATTTCTCTGAGGGTGTTACTTATATTTTTTAGTTGATGAAGTTTTTTTTTTTTTTTTTGCCTCCCACATCCTATTTCTTTCATATTTGAAGGTAAATGGATATTCTCGTGCATGTTAGGGGCTTTCCTCAAGTGTCTAGAGAACCTTGGCTTTGATTAAATGAAATATCCAGACACTTGAAAGGGGCGGTAGGGGCATGGAGATGGTTGGAAGCTCTGTGTGCATGGGTGAGGCTTACAACCTGGGACTTCTCTCTACTATAATTCACATCTACAGGGTCTGTTCTCATGCCTGGGAACTTGGCTGTGGGAAGAGGGTGGGATCTCACTGATCGGGCTTTGATCAGTCCCCCTATTTTTTTTTTTTTTTAAAGATTTTATTTATTTTCTCGACAGACAGATCACAAGTAGGCAGAGAAGCAGGCAGAGAGTGAGAAGGGAGGAAGCAGGCTCCCTGCTGAGCAGAGAGACCGATGCGGGGCTCGATCCTAGGACCCTGGGATCATGACCCGAGCTGAAGGCAGAGGCTTTAACCCACTGAGCCACCCAGGCGCCCCGATTCCCCCTTTTTTTAGTAGGAGGCCTCATCCCTGCCCTCAGCTGTCCTTTAAAGTCAACTCTCCTAGAGAGGAAATTGCCACTCTCTTGCTTGGCTGTGCAGGGTAGAGAAGAAGATATGGGGACCCAACTGTTCTTTATATAAATTTTCAACCAGTTCTTCCTTCTCAGAGGTCACCTGGACCTAATTTCCTATTGACTTCTCACTCCACAGGCTTGAATTTCAGCTTTGTTTGGATTCTTTTGTTCCCATTTGTTCATGTTTTCTGGCTTCGAGGATTTTGTGGCATGTCTGGTGTACTTCTTGTCCCCTCTCATTTTTAATTGTCTTCATGCATTTATTTCATATTTTTATATTTTATTCATTTCTGTATTCTTTTAGTGTCATTTTAGTACACTTTTAAAAGGTGTGGGGAAAAAGGCGTGTGCTCAGTGTGCCACGGTTAATGGAAGTGTATGGTGCAGGCTCTGCTTTAGATTGGTCAAAAACAATTTTTTTCCCTTTACACATTTGTGGGATATTTATATATTTTCTGATGCACAGTAATTCTTATTAAAATGTCTTCTAAAAATATTTTCTAATTTTTACATTTGTTTATTTAACACTGCAGATTTATTATCTGTTTCTAGAAGTAGAAAATGTGACCACCCACTGGATAGTTTAAAGGAGTAATTACCATTCTCATTGAGGTACTAACCCATTTTTTAAAACTTATGAGATAATTGTCGATTGATAGGAAGTTGCAAAAATAGCACAGAGATGTCCTTTGTGCCCAGTTTATCCCAGTGGTAGTATCTTTACATGACTGTTAAAATACCAAAATCAGGAAATTGATATTGGTACAATCCTCACTAGTTTTTAAAAGACATTCTTTTACATTTCATATTGGGCAGAAAGTTTACATTGCAAATATATATGAGACCCATGTGAAATTATTTTCTCTTTCAGCAATTTTTCCAGCTAGTCAAATTACGAAAGCTTGGACTTAGTGATAATGAAATTCAGCGGCTCCCTCCAGAAATAGCAAACTTCATGCAGCTGGTGGAACTTGATGTGTCTCGAAATGGTAAGAAAAAGATTCCACTTGAATTGTCCATTTGTCTCTCTTGGTGCTGGGCATGATTTTGAGTAAATATAGCTGGTTGAATGCTGTTGGATATGCTTTTTCTGATGGATATGGGAAAGCTATGTATAAATTTGGGGATGAAATTAATGGCATTATTGAATGGTTTAGTCAGCTTGTGGGTATTTACCAGAGGTATTTCATAACACAGTTTTTAGGTGATTTTCTCAAAGTAGGTTCAGTCTGATTTAGAGAAGGGACTGGTAGATAATATAACCCAACCACCTTGTTTTACTGAACATGACATTGAGAGCTGTTGGTGTGGTCATTTGTCCAGTGCTCAGAGGCTGCTGAGGTGAGGGGCAGCCGTCCTGGGGGAGTTTGGTTCCTCTGGCTGTGGCTCAGTGGCCTGGTACATGCCTGTGAGAATCTGTCTCCCTGTAGTAAACAGAGCAGCTTGTTGTCCAGGCCTCTCTGTCAGTTTAATTATTTCTAACTGGGCCATTGGTGGTTCTGCTCACTTGAGTTTGTGTGGTGTATTTGTGAGTTTATTTTGATTTCCAGATTTCACGAGAATGAAGTGCTTCCTTTTTTACTTGAACATTCTACTAGGTTTATAGTCTGTTTAGCCTTTCACTTTTGAATGGGTACCCTGGTTTAACCTCGTGTATTATAGCCCCAACAGCACTCCTGGAGTGGACTGGTACCCCTGCCTGTCACGGCATACACGATTAATTACTTTCAGTTAAAACGGCAGCTCCCAGTGGTTCTGTCTTTAGTGATGGGGTTCAGTTCTCACAAAGACTGGTATAATTTCCTTGGGATAGGCCCCAGTGTGCTGTGAATTATTTATAGACATAATGATCCTTTTCCTTCTCTCTCATATTACATACCTGTTTCATGTTTTGTTTTTGCTTCCCTACAAAAATCTACAAGTTTCTTCTCAGTGAATCTCAGGTCTCGATCTTTCATTCTCATGTCTTCCACAGAAAGTGCAAGGCTCAGATAGGGATTTTTTTTGGTGGGTCACTGTTCTAAGACAACAGTGATAATCAGTACTTGATAGAAAATGTGCTGAAGGAAAAATTACTTTACCTCCTACTTTTTTTTTTAAGATTTTATTTATTTATTTGACAGACAGAGATCACAAGTAGGCAGAGAGGCAGGCACAGAGAGAGAGAGAGAGGAGAAAGCAGGCTCCCTGCTGAGCAGAGAGCCCGATGCGGGCTCAATCCCAGGACACTGGGATCACGACCTGAGCCGAAGGCAGAGGCTTTAACCCACTGAGCCACCCAGGTGCCCCACCTTCTACTTTTAACAGCTGTGAAATTTCTGTCATCTACCAGATCCCATTGGAATTGGAATTGGAAACGGTCTGTAGGCCGGGCTATATGTTCTTGACATAGGGTCTACTTTTATTTTTCTTGAGAATTATTTCTTAGTTTGAAGGTAATGGTAAAAGTAAAAAAATATATTTTTTTTTCAATGAAAAATAAATTCACTTATTTAGTGCGTTTTGGAGTGGCTTATTTGGTTGCAGAGGACCCAGATCTGCTTAGGTAGAGGGTATTGATTTTAAGGATGGGGGTGGAGCTAACATTCCAGAAGCGTTGGCCTGGAGCCGACATCTGACCACCTTTGGAGTTTCATGGCCTCTCTCTGTCTTGCAGTGTGTCTGCTTCTGCTGGTCTGTGCTCTGTTCTTCCTTCCTGGGTAATCTGCTCTCTTGAAACTGGCCTCTCCAGGCCCAAATGGTTGTGGTCTCTTTCCGTGCACTTTTTGGCTTCTGCCCCTGCTGTGGCATCTCTTTGCCAGTGACATATTTCTAAGTGAGAAGTGGTTGACCCAGCTCATCTTTTTTAAAAAGCCAAATATAAACCATAAACTCTAGTTCCCTGGACAGCCTAAGAATCAGTTGCTGCAGGACAGGGGAGACGGGCCTTGCAAAGCTTGGCCTCACCCCTCAGCACAGATGTGGCTTCCCTTACACCCAGAGTGTGACATGGGACAGGCATCTGAGGCCAGAGTTGCCACTAAGGCTATCCTGTATCACATTTATCTAATGTATATATCACTGAAACTGTTCTCCCTTGTCTCAGCAATCATTTCCATCATAAAGAGTAGCTGGCTATTCTGCAAGGAAGCAGTGACTTAGGAAAATGGTCACTGAAATATACGATCTGAAGAAATAGAAGAGCGATTTTGAAATTGGCATTAGAAGGGAAAATAAGCAGGGGTCCAGAAATCCTTGAGAAGGGGGCGAAGTACTGGCTTTAATTATTTGGGAGAGGAGACACGTAGAACATGAAGATGCCCAGTCTGACGTGACCGGGCCGCTCTGTGGGAAGTTGGCATTGGCAGCTGCCCTGTTTACCAGTTCTCATATCAGCTGTTTCTTGCCAAACATTCTTATTTACAAAGAAGGGCTGGGGCGCCTGGGCGGCTCAGTGGGTTAAGCCACTGTCTTTGGCTCAGGTCATGATCTCAGGGTCCTGGGATCGAGCCCCCGCATCGGGCTCTCTGCTCACCGGGGAGCCTGCTTCCCTTCCTCTCTCTCTGCCTGCCTCTCTGCCTACTTGTGATCTCTCTCTGTCAAATAAATAAATAAAATCTTAAAAAAAAAAAAAAAAAGGAATGGCTACATGCTTCTTCCCATGTGTCCCTTTATACCTTCCTGCATGTTGATGAAAGAAATTAAGTTTTCTCTGAAGTCAGTGTCAGGACACAAAATGTTCCCTTTCCTTCTGCAGGTGTTGAGAGTTTTGTGAAAGATCCTACAGATCCTGTCACCTTCTTATCAGGCTCACTTAGAAATGCTGAGAGGAGTCAGCTGCCCCTTCCCCTATTGGTTAGAGCCTTACTCTGGCTCAATAGCATGGATGTGTGGTGTGTGTGTGATGTGTGTGTTGTGTGTGGTATGTGAGTTGTGTATATGGTGTGTGATGTGTGTTATGTGTGTGGTGTGTGAGTTGTGTATATGGTGTGTGTGTGGTGTATTGTGTTTATTGTATGTGTGGTGTGTGTGGTATGTTTTGTGTGTGTGTGGTGTGTGTGGACAGAGCAGAACAAGGTCATCATTTAGCTTAACCAACAGGAACATGGCTCTTGAGCTATTTCCAGGTCAGACAATCTCACTGTTCTATCTCATAATTATTTTTTTTTTTTTGATAGATAAAATCACATTAATGTGAATTTCCTAGGCAACTGAGTGGGTAAATAAGGGTTGCAATGTCTGTAGCCTGAGATGCATTGTGAAAACCCCTCGTTTGTATGGATACAGACATTTGTGAGGGTTCGGGTTTAAGTCTGGAGGCCTGTGGGAGCCTCTCGTTTTCCGTTGCTTGTGCTGAGGCTGCTTCTCCACGGTCGAGAGGCTGTTCTATAGCCAGGGCTGTCTCTGTCTCTGTCATGGTAGGACCTTCACTGGCTTCCTCAATTCCTGATTTTCCAGTGAACATTGCTTGGCCGTGGAAGTGGGAGGCAGGATATTAATACCAGACCACTCAAGTCATTGGATTAATGCTCATCAAACCTGAACATGTGATGAATTACCATAGGATTTTGTTACCATACGGATTCTGATGCAGTAGGTCTGGAGAGGGGCTTGAGATTTTGCATTGCTAAGAAGTCCCCAGCGGCTGCCAACCCTGTTGATCCCACTGAACATGCTAAGTAACAAGATGTGAGCCATCACTACCCAAAACTCACCACTAATGTTCCTTCAGCTGCTGCACGTAGTTATGAGCATGACTTTGCTCAGCTCCCGGCAGCCCTGTACCTTCTCGTGTGGAATTAGGATATTACTGGTCAATGGGTAAGATGCTGTTACCAACCTAAGCTCCAGTTGGCTTTCATTCCAGGAGAAATATTATACCTGTCCTGGTGTTCCCTACCTCAAGTGAGGGAGAAAAGACAAGTTTTGTGTTTGTCTCCAGAAAAATCTATAAATGAGGAGGAAAGAAGTTTTTATAGGCCCATGTCCTATGCTAAGAAGAACTGCCAAGACCTCCAAACCCTGACTTTTGTGGCTTTGTTTTCTGCTATTTCAGGCACAAAGTCAAGGGGATTGTGTGTTGTATTAGAAAAGAGAACAGTGAGCTTAGGAAGAAAGAGAGTAGTGCTTAGAGTTTATATATGGGCTGTGGAGACTTTTCTGGGGTAAAAAGAGAGAGGCTTGGGATGAGCGTGGTTTTGCCTCCAAAATGGCTGGACATGCTTGGCAGGCAGGACTCTGGGTGGGAGCCCTGGCTTTGCTGCTCAGCACTGGGCCAACTATGGACAGGCCTCACCTGCCAGGGTTGAGCCATATCCTGAGAAGGACTGGGGTAAGGCACCACTTCACACAAACCCTGCGGGAGGCGAGGAAAGTGACATATTTCTCATGTTCTGACAGTGGATTACTTTTTTAATCAGGCAAATAGCTAAAATAAACTTGGAATAAAAGAAATGAGGTGTTTCCTATAAACACAGATTAAAAGCTGACTGGAGTGTAAGAAATTGGTATCTGAATATGGTGTTAAATTGCCTAAAGAAACCTTACGGCCCTGAATTAAGGTCTGAAGCAGTTTTCTGTGGTAAAATGCAAACATTTTAATGCCTGGACTGTATGTCTATATTCTCTGCTAACTGATTTTTAGCTGTTTGAGGGAAACGACCTCTGGATATGTAAGAAGAGGTATTACCCCATAGTATTATCTTGCTATCCAAGAATCTCAGGCAGACTTTGTTAATGCGTCATGCATCCTGCCTGAAGGGCTGGTAATTTGAATTTTATAGCCTATGCTGTAATTTGACTTACATCACAGTACTGTATCATTATCCATTTAGTTCAGTTTTTCCCAAAGTGCGAGGCATACACCACTGGTACTGCTAGAGCTGATTTTAAGTGGAGCCACAAAACCGCCATTTTTAATATTGAGTCATGGTAAGAAAGTTACCATTTAAAAAAAAAATATTCCTTTTGGTTTGCCTTTGGTGGAATTTAATGACACTATATTTATTAT